ACAACACGTCACACACTACAGATCAAACACAACACGTTACACACTACAGATTAAACACAATATGTCACACACTACAGATTAAACACAACACGTCACACACTACAGATATAGTATCTATTATACATTTATGACATAATTTTATCTATTACAAAGCTATCCTATCACTTTAAGATCTAATGTTATCTAATAATTAATTAAACTGTTTGTTACTTAAGACTAGGAAATCTCTCCGAAATCTAATAATCATGAAAAACTGCTTTGATCGTGCATAAATAGCATTATTAAAAATTACAGTTCTTTTTCTAATCATGTACCCTTTTAACAAAAGTATGTAATTAGTGTGGTAATGTTTTCGTGACCATGCCTTTAGTTTTTTGGGTACAATTTTGATATCTTTTATACTTTATGACTCTTTCTTATGTAAGAAGTATTGACCGGATGTTTTTAATAATTTAAAGTATTTAAGAAGTATTTTATTTTAAACATGTGACACTAATATAACCTACTTATTTGCGAGTTTGATAAAAGTGGAACGTTAGAATCGATTTGGTAAGGATGAATCAATTTTTCATCATCACTTATATATATTGAAAAATAACATTTCTAATCGCGGCCTAGAACCCGAAATTTGTTTTCGGTTTTTGTTTTTTCTTTTTCTTTTTTATCAATCGGTATGAAAATCTCCTATAATGGGAATTTCAGCCTGAAAATACGTTCCTGTTTCACACAAATATATTGGTAATATACTCGAATTCATGCTGGACCATTTTTTTTTTTGGCTTTCTTTTAGTTATATATAGTTATAGCAATATTCCAATGCAGTCATAATACATTCCTCTATAACGAACTTTGTTGTAATATAAATAAGTCAATAGTTTACTTCATGTTATAGTTGCCGTAGGATTAATATAATCCTGGTGCTATATTTTGTTGCTCTGTTTGTGCTGTAACCGTTATATCACTTCTGTCTAGTGGCGTACATATACGCGCTACGACTGGTGCAACGGGTGGCGAGAATAAGTTCACTTTCTGTCCACATACGTCTTTTTTTACGGTTCCTTCATCTTTCTTTCAAAGAGTTAGATTAAGGCATAGAACAATGTGATGCCGATATGTCGACAATTAACATGTCCTCTCGTAAATCCTTACTGAAATACTCTAACGGTCCATTTGTCTGCTGACCATCGTGTCAGTATACATAGTATTACCATTGAAATGTTACACCGAACCTATCAATGGTTGTCCTATATGAGCCCATGATATATATATTTACCAACAAGCCGGAATTCATTAAGTTTGTCATCAATAGCAATGTGTGTTATAGGAGCCTAACAACATTTTCTAGAGCATCCTTTACTTAAATAAAGTGGAATGGAGTTGGATGTAGGTACCGTGGCAAACCACAGGAATGGCATCGCTAGGCATCATAGAGTAAATCAACAAAAACATTGATTTACATCTAAATGCAAGACGTAACGTTGATTATAAAAGTAGACACTTTATGACAGTTATTGCAGAATTTAGAATGTTTGATTGATTTGAAGGAGTTTGATGTTTAACATAATTTAATATATATAAATTACTTTTGATGACCACAAATCAGATAAGCATATTATTTTCATTGTAATTAATTGTGTAAAGCTGGAGGTGTTAGTTAAGGTAAAGTATAAGCTAACGGTTAATTGTGTTACATTAATTAGCCTACCCTACTATAACAAATAGTATATAATGTCTTAAACATGGTCTCATTTGCGAGGACCCAATAGTCACTTATGTTTAACTGGATAGGAAAAGCATTGCATTAGCTACCCAATTACCTGTACAATAAAGTTAAAACGATGCCTTATTTGTTTTTTAATAACTTACTTATCTTCTAAAAGATATATATTCTACATCATTTAACTTGATTCATAAGCAGTATATAGTTCAATTGCTATCCGTCCTTAACACAAAATATATAATTTTCATATACAATGTACATTGCGTTTGTGTTCTGAGATGGAGAAACAACTCAGGCTCTCCAATATGTGAGAGAATGGACAGCAAGTGTCTTTTATATTTAAATAAATATGTTCACCTGTATAATTTTGAAACTCGTTTTGTTTTGTTTTCTAGAAAATGAAGCTGAATAGAGCGCTGTATTGTTTACTTATTACTCTGAGCCTGGTCATATTACCTGTGCTATCTTCTACGACTGAGAGTACGCGTAAGTAAGGCTGTCACATTTACAATTTTCTATTGGTCAGTCTCTGTATCTTACTACGAGTTGTTCGGGTCCTTTCGTCATACTTTTATAGTAGTAGGGGACGAATCATGTCAGGACTTCAAATTCAAATTTCCAGAAATTCTCGAATGGTTTTCGACTGTCAACAAATTGTTCGGGTCCTTCCGGCAGACTTTTTAGAGTTTTCAGGGACTAATCATGTCATGACTTCAAATTTGACGGAAATTAACGAATGATGTTCGATTTTAAGCTTCAAATTTTGACGAAATTTCCCGAATGATCTCTGTTTGACACTTGTCTCTGACGTAAACGGAACCATTAAAACCACGGGAAGTACGACACTGTCCCAGCTAAAAGACTGTTCCTAAATTGTACTATGAACCAAAGGAGGTCATTTGGAATGGTGATATAGAAGGTTTTGAAGACAATATATGGATTAAATGGGATATTTTAAATATCTCTGATTAAGCATATCTCCAAGACACGCTACCGCACCTTGTGGGAGTTTCTTTTAGCGGATATCATTTTTATTTTGCAAGAATGCATTTAAATCTTTTAAGCACTGGTCATTTTGATTTCGTTCAGACCTGTATTTTATTTCAACCAATTCGTTAAATATGAAGTAGTTTAATCACTTCAAAAAATGACACAAATATTTCCTAATGACGTCAGAACAAATGATTTTTTTATCAAAAATCAAGATGTCATAAACAAACCTGTTTTGTTATTGTAGTGGGAAAACCTACGGTGGCCACTGTAGGATCTGAATACTTTTCAACGATAGGTGTTGATGTGGTTTTAGCATGTGAGGTGACCGCGAACCCGGCCATTTTTTCAGTCACCTGGTACAAAAATATTAATGCCTCGAGCTCTTTCACCGAAATGTTGGTAATAGACAATGTGAAATATTCCGGCGGTGACACAACCCAACCGGCCCTTACAGTCATCAGTCCCTCTCTTAACGACAGCGGTAGATTCAACTGTGAGGTTGAAAACAGCTACGGCTCAGCATACGGACAGGTGTTAGAGCTGCTGGTCACCGAGACGACAGGTATCATGATTCCTAATCACAGGCGATTACATTGGATGATAGTGTGTTGATAGAATATGTTATTACATTTTACCATTTAAGTATAGGTATGGTTTTATGGTGACCGACGTTGATATTTTCTACATATCTATTATGAAATGTGTACATACAAACACTCCTTTAATGTTGTTTAGCTTACCTTTGACGACATGTTTTATCAGTTTCAAATGGAAGCTGCACAAATGAATTACAAGCTGACAAACGTAGTACCGATAAACACTATCCACTGACAAACGTAGTACCGATAAACACTATCCATTGACAAACTGACAAACGTACTACCGATAAAAACTATCCACTGACAAACGTAGTACCGATAAACACTATGCACTGACAAACGTAGTACCGATAAACACTATGCACTGACAAAGGTAGTACCGATAAACACTTTCCATTGACAAACGTAGTACCGATAAACACTTTCCACTGACAAAGGTAGTACCGATAAACACTATCCACTGACAAACGTAGTACCGATAAACACTATCCACTGACAAACGTAGTACCGATTAACACTATCCACTGACAAACCTAGTACCGATAAACACTATCCACTGACAAACGTAGTACCGATAAACACTTTCCACTGACAAACGTATTACCTATAAACACTATCCACTGACAAACGTAGTATCGATAAACACTATTCACTGACAAACGTAGTACCTATAAACACTATCCACTGACAAACGTAGTACCGACAAACACTTTCCACTGACAAACGTAGTACCGATAAAGACTATCCACTGACAAACGTAGTACCGATAAACACTATCCACTGACAAACGTAGCACCAATAAACCCTATCCACTGACAAACGTAGTACCGATAAACACCATCCACTGACAAACTGACAAACGTAGTACCGATAAACCCTATACACTGACAAACGTAGTACCGATAAACACTTTCCGCTGACAAACGTAGTACCGATAAAGACTATCCACTGACAAACGTAGTACCGATAAACCCTATCCACTGACAAACGTAGTACCGATAAACACTTTCCACTGACAAACGTAGTACCGATAAAGACTATCCACTGACAAACGTAGCACCAATAAACACTATCCACTGACAAACGTAGTACCGATAAACACTATCCACTGACAAAC